GATCATGATACAAACCTGGTCTATGAGCTAGCTTGTTGGAGCCCATTCCCTCAATTCATGGGAGAGGGGCCGGGCCCTGCCCCAACGTATTGTGCCAGACTATGTTGACTCTTCATGGGAGCCCTTACCCGTGAGGAGGAGTGGACTGGAGATGGCTGTGGGGGAGGTAAGGAGGGATGGGAGGAGACAAGGGCTCAGGAGGAGATGTGGGAAGGAGAAGTGTGGTTGGAATGTAAAATTAAATTAAAAATTTTTTAAATGGCAAAAAATAAAGCTCCTGACATTAATTTTATAAGCAGCCTACACTTATAGTGCAGCTGTCAATCAACACTGTATGGAATTAATTTTCCAGGTATGACAACTGAGGAATCATCAAGGAATTAAGTCCCCAGCATGTTTTAGTGCCCCAGAGACAACCACAGTTTCACTCAGAAGCCAGGTGAAGGTCTGAATTCACTTCTGACTTTTCTGTGGCTATTATTGCTGAGATGCTTGGGGAGCTCTCCTCGGGTGCAAGGTGTTAACTGTTCTTTCTATGGCTCTGGTTTTTATAATCCTTGAAACAGAATTCAGTCATTATTTCTCCACCAAAACTCCATTATATTCTACCCAAGGTACTATTAGGTAAAAATCAGATACTCTGTACTTGTTTCTCAGCAAACTTACTTATAGGTCATATTGTAAGGTTACATTTTCTCTCCATTCTTCATTATATTTTTCCTAGGTGTGTGTGTGTGTGTGTGTGTGTGTGTGTGTGTGTGTGTGTGTGTGTGTGTGTGTAATCTCCATGCTTCACAAGCTAGAAAAGAATGCCCATCATTGCCAGCTTGGAAGGCATGGTGGCTAAAGCACCAGGCTAGCCTAGCACATTGCATCAGATGTCTGGGAGCAGAGAGAGTGATTGTACACGTGCTTGCTCTCAGCTGCCCTCTCCTCTGTTCTGCAGATCAGAGTCCCTTCACACAGAGGGGGGGCTCTCTTAGCTCAATTAATGAATCAAGGTAAACTCCCACAGACAGGCCCACAGGCCATCCTGATCTAGACAGTTCCTCACTGAGACCCAATCCTACATGATTCTAGAGTGTGTCAAGTTGACAAAATAACCTCCTGCACTCTTTGTCAACATGACATAAAAACATGCCACCTACAGATATCAACCATCAGGCCCTTTCATCCAAAGTCTCATATTTATTTCATAATGTAAATTATAGTTCAACTTTAAAACTCACCACTGTCTTTAAACACTGGCATGCAGGACTGTGAGGGTGTAACCCTGGCATGCAGGACTGTGAGGGTGTGACCCTGGCATGCAGGACTGTGAGGGTGTAACACTAGCATGCAGGACTGTGAGGGTGTAACACTAGCATGCAGGACTGTGAGGGTGTAACACTAGCATGCAGGACTGTGAGGGTGTAACCCTGGCATGCAGGACTGTGAGGGTGTAACCCTGGCATGCAGGACTGTGAGGGTGTAACCCTGGCATGCAGGACTGTGAGGGTATAACCCTGGCATGCAGGACTGTGAGGGTGTGACCCTGGCATGCAGGACTGTGAGGGTGTGACCCTGGCATGCAGGACTGTGAGGGTGTGACCCTGGCATGCAGGACTGTGAGGGTGTGACCCTGGCATGCAGGACTGTGAGGGTGTGACCCTGGCATGCAGGACTGTGAGGGTGTGACCCTGGCATGCAGGACTGTGAGGGTGTGACCCTGGCATGCAGGACTGTGAGGGTGTGACCCTGGCATGCAGGACTGTGAGGGTGTGACCCTGGCATGCAGGACTGTGAGGGTGTGACCCTGGCATGCAGGACTGTGAGGGTGTGACCCTGGCATGCAGGACTGTGAGGGTGTGACCCTGGCATGCAGGACTGTGAGGGTGTGACCCTGGCATGCAGGACTGTGAGGGTGTGACCCTGGCATGCAGGACTGTGAGGGTGTGACCCTGGCATGCAGGACTGTGAGGGTGTGACCCTGGCATGCAGGACTGTGAGGGTGTGACCCTGGCATGCAGGACTGTGAGGGTGTGACCCTGGCATGCAGGACTGTGAGGGTGTGACCCTGGCATGCAGGACTGTGAGGGTGTGACCCTGGCATGCAGGACTGTGAGGGTGTGACCCTGGCATGCAGGACTGTGAGGGTGTGACCCTGGCATGCAGGACTGTGAGGGTGTGACCCTGGCATGCAGGACTGTGAGGGTGTGACCCTGGCATGCAGGACTGTGAGGGTGTGACCCTGGCATGCAGGACTGTGAGGGTGTGACCCTGGCATGCAGGACTGTGAGGGTGTAACCCTGGCATGCAGGACTGTGAGGGTGTAACCCTGGCATGCAGGACTGTGAGGGTGTGACCCTGGCATGCAGGACTGTGAGGGTGTAACACTAGCATGCAGGACTGTGAGGGTGTAACCCTGGCATGCAGGACTGTGAGGGTGTAACCCTGGCATGCAGGACTGTGAGGGTGTAACCCTGGCATGCAGGACTGTGAGGGTGTGACACTGGCATGCAGGACTGTGAGAGTGTGACACTGGCATGCAGGACTGTGAGGGTGTGACCCTGGCATGCAGGACTGTGAGGGTGTAACCCTAGCATGCAGGACTGTGAGGGTGTAACCCTGGCATGCAGGACTGTGAGGGTGCATGTTTTCATATGATTTATGTGGAACTGGGAGGGTGGTTGCTAGTTCATATGGTGAGTGTGTGATGGAGCAAGATATACACAGTTTTCTCAACATCTTCTGAGTTTGTCCTTCCCTCTGAGTCAGTAACTGATGCTGTTCTGATGACTGACAAGTATCTCATTGTGGCTTTAATATTATTCACCTAGTTCAACTAAATCTTCTCATGTGCCAATTTACTAATGTATGTCTTGGTTTTGAAGGGCCTGTCCATATCTTCCTTCTTTCTGAAACACGGTAGTGAATGTTGGAACAGAACTGACTATACAGCCATGATGGCCTTAAATTTGTGAGCCTTGTACTTCCCTGAATGCTAGGACAATAGACATGCACCCACATGTCTCGCCATCTTCTTGTCTTTTCTACCTGTATTAGTTGATCATTTCCTCCCATGTTATTGACCTCTTAATAGTTGTAAATATTCTGTCATGTCAACCAAATATGTAAAATTTTGTTAATATTTGGCTCAAAATGTAGAGAGTCAACATAACTTCATATTTTTCCAAATTGTCTATTTCCATCGCCCAGTATTTCTTGTTTTGTTTTTGCTTGTTTTTTTTGAGGCAGGGTCTCACTCTGTTTACTGACTGTTCTGGAACTCACTATATAGACCAGATTGGACTCGAACTCAAAGAAATCCATCTGCCTCTGCCTCTCAAGTGTTGGGATTAAAGGAGTGTACCACTGTAGCCAGCTCATAACCCCTTTTTAAAGTTATTTCTTTAAATAAAAATCCTAAAATCAGAATTATGAAATCAAACTATGTGTGTGGCTGTCACATAGTTAAGTGGTATTTAGTTTGTCACATATCCTTGAGTTGATCTTCTGAAATATTGAATGACACATAATTCTATCATGTGTATAAGATATAACTGAAGCAACATTTTGATGTTTTGTTTGGTTTTGTAATTAAACATGCATGATATGTCTGTTGTTTCCATGGCACTGACTGCTGTCATGCTGGGTGACTTTGCATGTCCTATTTATACTGAATTTCAGCACTGGAGCTAAGGGGAGGCTGAGAGCCTTTCCAGTTAAATTTTGTTGTTTCTGAAACAGATTATTATACCTCACTGTAGTCAAAACTGGAAGGGCTGAAGATCTCTTAAAGGCCAAGCAGCAAGCAATGGTGCCTCTGGAAACTCTAGGACAAACTTCTCTGCTTGCTCTGAGAAATGAGGCTAAGACTCAGATTGTTAGAAGATGATCATTGTTTGGGGGAAATCTTCCATGCTTTAAAACTTGTAAAATTACATTTTGTCACTTCAAGAGTCTTTTCACCTTTTTATTTCGGAAAGAATATACTTTGCATCTGGGCTGAGTTAACTGAACACATTTTTATTATGATAAAGCACATAGAATATAAGCATTTCCCATCTTAATCACATTGCTTGGTGTTATTTACATTTTTACCCATCATCTGTACCATTTATTTCTCCTCCACCCAGCCAGTTGCCCATGGCTGTCCCTCCCAAGCAGAGAATGACATTCTGCTTCTTTGTCCCCACCTGTGAAAGTTTCGCCTACCCTCCTGAGCAGAGAACGACACCCTACTTTGTCTCTGCCTGTGTAGGTCTCCTAGCTCTTCCTGCTCCTAGACTCCACCCAGAATCTGTTCTGCATGACCCTTTACTCAGGCAGTATGGTGGCTTCATGCTCATCTGTGTGGTACCATGTGCAGACTCCCCTTTTTCTTTTAAAGCTGAATAGAGTGTAGAGGCTGAAATTTGTTTATTCATCCTTAGGACTGCTTTTTATACGTAGATTCTCTCTTTCCTATAGTTTCAGTTATATGATGATTATAATAATAAGTGTTTACATACATCATTTGGCAAAACAGAGATAGCTGTGGAAGTTGAATGGCTGAAACCTATCACACCTGTCAGATATTTTTAAGTAGTGTGGGTAATCCAGGCCATGACACGTAAGATGCACTTTCTATGTCTCCCTTGAAGACACCCTGAAGGGTATAAAACACTTATGTTTTTGGCATATGGCTTTTCTTTTATGTCCGCCATCCACATATATCATAATAAATAGGTTTAGCAACAATAAAAAAGAATGACTCTGGGGGCTGGCGGGATGGCTCAGCAGTTAAGAGCATGGGCAGCTCTTCCATCAACTACATGGTGGCTCACAGCTATCTCTAAAGGGATCTGATGCCCTTTTCTGGCATGCAGGAATTCATTTAGATAGAGTACAATATACATAAAATAAATAAATATTGTAAAATTATGAAAATAGATAGAAGTAAAAGAAGAATAACTGTATCTTCATTTTAAATGAAGCCCCATATGAGCTACACCATGATGCATCGCTCTGATGCTCATCTTAAGGGAACTTTACCCATCCTTGAGCAATAACATGTTTACTACCCTCCCATACATAGATTTTAAAATGTTAATTATATTTTTTTCAGCACTGAGAATCAAAAAAGGACTGACTGTGGCATAACTGTGACCTATGAGAATTGACATACAATACACAATGGGATTATTATTTATTCTTAAGTAGGAAATGATGCTGTCCAAGGTGTACATCACAACAAAGAAACTCATGAGATACAGAATGGTCCGTGCGGCTCTTTGTTCTGGGGATGGTTTAAGGGAAAGGCTGGTACCGTGGAGAAGCTGAGACTGCCTCTTATGTCTACACAGGAAAGTCACCATGTACCCACTGGAGAGAGCCAAAAGACCTACAAGGATGATGTCTCTGACAGATAATAATATATAAAATGTATGCCAGACAGTGTAACTCATGACTACAAGAGAGCAAGATTCAGTTAGGTATACAAGACTAGATGAGGTCAAATTAGGGGTCGCAGTCACGTATGACATGAGGGGACTGCTAACGGATACATAGAGGACACTGAGGAAAAGGAGACAGCCTAGCATGTGGTATGCAGACTTACACTTGAACTTTGCTAGACAGGAGGTTCTGGGACTGAGGGTGATGGCCTGGAGGATGCTGAGCAGGCTAGAGGCACAGAGAGAGAGGCTCCTAAAATACCTGTACAAGAACATAATAAGTTTGCATGTGGAGTCACCCCACTTCCCCCACGGCATAAAAATGTCTGTAGCCACTAAACTCATGACTATCAGCATCAGTATGTGGATTAGGGCCAAGAGCCCAAAGGGCAGGTCGGTGAGTCTGAGCCTCTGCCCATGAATGAGCCTGAGGATATGGAAGAGAAGGAGGAAGCTGTTGCCAGAAATTCCAATTCCAGCTTCAAAATAAATGGTGTTTCTTACCTTAGTGTTATGGGACAGTTTATTGATTTGATTCATTTTATGGCTAAAAGAAGCAGGTAGAAACTATATGGGGAAAACAATAAGAAGATTCCATATCATAAATCTACCCTTGCTCATCAGCTTCAGTCAATGACAGCATCACTACCTCAAGAAGACTTGTTAGTGCTTCCCAGTTCAGCCTTATTCCATTTAATGTCGCCTCCACTCCAACTGTCCAGAAGCAATCTCTCTGTTGTTCCAACACTTATGCCGCTTCAGAGTATAAACTTTCTTCCATATTAAAAATCGTCATGTGTCACAGAAACATGTTTTCCTACCACATATAAGGTTTCCTGAGGCAAAAGCAGCTTGCCTTGAATCTGCTTCGTCTTGATGACCAGATGCATGACAGCTCTACAGTTTTTGATGAACTTCAGTGAGGATTGCAGGAAAGTAGGAGGCCCTGGGATGAAATAGTGTCTGTGGGTGGCCAGGGTTGTCTCTCTTGGTTCTGCACATTTACTGCAGACATAATGCTCTTTGTGTGGTTCTGCAGGGACCAGTAATAAGTGGAAACTCTGAATCTAGACTGTTTCACATTCTACCCACAATCTGAGGGTGTGAGATAGACCTCTGAGGGTGACCCCAAGCGCTCTGAGGATGAGCTGCAGTCATCTGCTAGAACATATGGACAGTCATGTGCCTGTGTTGGGAAACCCCCGGTGTGAAAGGAGATGGAGTCTACATACCAAGCATGGTGGTGTTTACTGCACAGGGTGAGCCGTGGAACTATCTGCTGCTGACTTTGTTCCCACGAGGTTCCTTGTTTGTGACTTGGGAGAGTTCATGCAATTTTCAAAATAAATGATCAGCTATGCCCTGCCTGAAACAGAGAAGATTAAATATGAAAGTCATTGAATGTCTGAGCACCCCCTTGCCAGAGCATCCTGATAGCATTTTAGGCCTTTTCTGTGAACCCCACTTTGTAACTGCATCTGAGATATATGTTCAAGTCACTGCAGAAAAAAAAGCCTGTACAAAAACCGTCCACTTTTCAGATACTGGCAGGAACATGGTCTGGGGTTTTTCTCCTCCACCATATGAAGCTAAATAAATAGAACAGAATTATAATTACAATAGATCTAGAGCCATTCCTATTGTTGGGTTTTAATGAGAGAAAAATTATCTAACCCATCCTGAAAGATGGGCTGCACAGGCATCTAGGATTCCATACCTCCTTGAGGAAGAAGGGATACTTCTCAGACTTAGGAGGCCCAAGCCTCAGATGTTCACCAGAAGATTTGATGAAGGGTCTTCTGGAAGATTCTTTTTCATGCAGTGCAAGCATTTAATTCAAATATCATACTCCTGAATTGTGAAATAATATAAAAATTTTCTAGTCATATAGTAAAAAATAATTATCATCAGAAACTCAAGGGGGTATTTTGATTTTTTTCTTGTTTAGACCATGGAACATATAAGATATGAAGGGAAAGCAGAGGTATCCAAGTTCCTGAACATGTAGCACCAGCTATGTGCTCAGAGCAGAAGGCCTGCAGGTAAGCCCAGTATGCAGATGGGATGACTGTCAATCATGGTGACATGAATTTGATTCCTGAGATTTATACCCTGGAAGGGAAGAATCAACTCCAAGGGCCCCATGGGGCATGAATAGCTTCTCCTCTCCCACAAAATGAATGAAATGAAAGAAATCAGAACTAAAGTAGATAGTCCATTTAAATAATTAGAAATAGTATCTAGAGAGGTGACTCCATGTTTCAGAGCATCTACTGCTCTTGTAGAGGACCCAGGTTCAGTTCCCAGTACCTACATGGCTGCACCAAACCACCTGTAACACCAGCTTCAAGGGATCCAAAAAACAATTCTGAAGTCCACAGGCATCAGGCATGTATGTAGTGAAAAATACATATATGCATGGGAAATACTTGTGCCCATAAGAGAAAATAAACTGTTTAAAAATGGATATTTCCTAAATAAAATTATATAGCCTCCTTAGGAAAAGTTAAACTTTTGTAAGATTAATAGTGATAATAATGTAAGAATGATAGTAATAATAGTACTAATAGAGTTTTAAATAAGTTTTACTCAATTATTCCCCTTGAATTATTATTTTCTTTATATAACATATGGACTGAATGGCCTAGTCTCAGTAAGCAGAGGTCAGAAACAAAACGAAGCAAAATGTAGGAGAGGGAGAGACAGACAGTCAAACAGACTGCAGCTGTAAATCCTGATTTAGGGAAATGGGAACAATCTAAAACCATGACTTCAGTGGATGAGGCCTTGGACCCACCGGGAAACCCAGAAGACAGACCAAGAAGGTGGCATGCCGTCTCGTCATGGGCGCCTCCTAACCAGGAGAGACAGACAGACATTTCTGCAGTCATCCTGCTGTCTCCCAATGCTGCACCACACTTTTATGAACCAGTCTTTAAATTATGTGTGATGTAAAGAAATGTATACAGCAACTTCTACACTAAGTGTGGGGAGCCATTATGGTGAAGATGAACCCCTCAGCAAACCATAGAAAAGGAATCCTCAAGACTGTCCCCTTCCAGGTAAACCTTACCAGCTCACACCAGCCTAGCAAAGCATGGCCTCTGAAGTCAGGGGACAGGACAGAAATGCTCCACCCTCAGCAGTATCATTAAAGACAAATTCCTCAATCAGACAAGTTAAGGGTAACTGTCCTGTGACTATTCTAGAATAACCTGTTGTATTGCGAACCCAAATTGCCTTTTGCATAATGAAAACACTGATTGATTCAGAGACACTTGACATCCTGTATATAAGGATGTCACAGGGAAAGTTACATGGGTTGGGGAAATTGTCCCACATGAAGAAAAGAAAAGGCTTAGTGAATAGGCCAGGAAAACAGAATACCCAAGATGGGAGAAGCAACCAAAAGAAACTTGATGCTCCCTCTGTTAGAGCCAGCTGTATGGATGTCCCCTGAAAGATGAGAGTTAGCTGCCCTGCACTGCGGAGTCAAAAACTCATGACTGCAGACACTGCCATCAGGGAGAGCCCTGTAGTACGTGACATCACCAAATGGGCCTCAGGACAAGCACTCAGGACAGTAACCTGAACTTGTGATCTGGTTGGAAGTGGAGAGTGGAATGAACGGGCGGAAGAAACCTCTCGGCAGATGCCACTGCAGGATGGCGTGCTTACACCCCCGGTAGAGGCACTCATCTAGGGAGAAGCATGTAGGAAGGACACATTTCCTCCTCAAATGGAGTCACCCCGCCCATCTCCTGGTATTGAGAAGATGGGTGAAGAGCATGGTTATGTCAGGACTGAATGGTACCTGTCCACTCTTATATTCATTGCATTTTTCATCCTCAGACTGCTCACCTTTACCATGTTGTCATCACTCTCATCCCCTCTGTGAGTTAATGTAAAATGGACAGAGAGATTTGCAAGGGGGAACTGGCTCTTCCATCTAAGAGTGGGGTTGGGATGAAGTGGAACTGAGCAGTGTGCTCTGTTTGTTGCACAATTCTAACTGGAAATCTAGGAAGACTAGGATGATGGCTGGTTCATCAAGGAAGCATCAGTGTTCTGTTTTGTGGGTCTATTGAAAAGGGGTCACTCTAGACTGTAATTTCAGGCTTAGCAAAAGCAGCAGGGGTGGGGGAAGGGAGGACCCAGCCTAAATGGACTGACTGCTCATGGCTTTGCAAAAGCCTCTAGCAAGTCCATTTCCAGTTGACTCTTATCTGGAGTTGTTTAAAGGAATCATTTGCCTAAGCAATTCTCAGCCATGAGACCTTCTATTTTGCCAGGTCCTCTCAGGACTAAGTTTTGCAAAGGCTCTAAAATTCCTTCAAGAATCACAGACTTTACTCCCTTAACCTAGAGACAGGAGAAAAGTCCTAGTCCCTACTCCAAATGACTTGACAGATTTAGATGACCCCTCCTGGAGGGCATCACGCTACATGTGGAGTGAGGGGGGGGATGGGATGGGAGGGTGGTGAGGAGCATGTGAGTGTGGGAGAGGGAAAAGAGGGAGGGAGGGAGGGAGGGAGAGGGGACTGGGATCAATATGTAAAATAAAAATAAGAATCACGGACTTTGGACTTTAAATAAAAGGTAGCTCGAAGCCGAGGAACAAAAGCCAGGCTCATTGGCTCTGGGGAGTCTCTCTTTACAGGGAAGGAAAGCCATCACCAAGCAGATGTTAGTTAGCTCTGTATCCAGAAAGGCCGTGAGTATAGGAACTACAGGAATGTCATGCAAATGCCTGGAGAATATCTGGGCTAAGGAAATGATGGCTACTTCTGAAAGGTAGCTTAAGAATTAATTCCTAAAATGAAAAGATGTGGATTCCTTCCAGACTAATGTGGTTTGATCACACCAGACCGCCTGAAACAGAGTACAAGCTGATCCTACATTCCAAACAGCTGGACAAAACAGCCCTACAGACTACAGCTAGGATATCTGAATCTTCTTCGAATCCCCCAAGACAGCGCCCCTTACCAGCAGGAAGTAGTTTGGAAAGAACGACGCCCAAATTCCCAAATATTGTGTATAAATGTTTGTTTTCATTTAATTGGACTTTGTTATATAAAATTAAATAAAAAATACTCTATATGCATAAAAAAAAAAAAAAAAAAGAAAGAAAAACACAGGTAGCCACTAGCTGAAACAAGTGTACTTCAGTAGGGGTGGGGCAGACATTTTTGGGTTTTGGTGTTTTTTTTTTTTTTAATAAAATAAAATTAATTATATGGAAAAAAAAAAAAGAATTAATTCCTGTCATCTTTTTAACTGAACCCAGTGTGAGTACTTCTCGGGTAGGATGTTGCCCACTATGTTTACTACACCCGGAAACAGCAGGAGAGGAAAGTGCTCTTTTGAAATACAGAAGCAGGAGGCTGCAGAGAAACCTCATCTCAGACCCCTCGACCTGACTCCTGCAGACTCCTGGACTTCACCCCAGGCGGAAATAATGGCACAGCTGTCTCTCCATTCCCCTCTGCGTCTCTGTGTGTTAGCAGTAAGAAAGACAGATGTTTATCTATTCCTGACAT